GGGCTGCTCTTTCAGCAGTGGAGGTGGGGTGCTCCGGGCCCTTGCTCTGGCCGCAGCCTTCAGCAGGTGCCGTCCCTCGGGAGCATGGGCCATCCTGGCAGTGTGAGCCCACCGGCTGGCCGGCGTGTGCCCAGGCCGGCTGCCGTTGCCACGGTGACTTCTGCAGGAATTCCGACTGAGGCAGGGGCTCCTGCAGGGTCTTCCGGGAGGTGTCTGACCTCGGCTTGAGAGCTGGAGCCAAGCGTCGGCCTTCATGTGCTTGACGCGATCCAGCCTGTGGATAGAGCACATTTTACTTATCAGTGGATGGAAACCTGGGTTCTTTCCACGTTTGGCTGCTGTGAATAATGTTCCTCACATACATGCCTTTGTTTGCATCTGTTTTCATTTCTTCCCTGGAGATTCTAGGAGAGGAATCACTCATTGTGTGGTAGTTTAAAATTTCTAGAAACTACCCGGCCATTGTCCAGTGTGGCTGTGCCATGTGGATACAGTCCTGCCAGGGGTCCCTTTTCTCTGCGTCCTTGTGAATACTTGTTATTGTTGGTCTTTCTTTCTTTAAAACTTATTGTATTTATTTATACATACAAGAGTTGGGATGTAGCCAGGGGTGCAGGGGGCGGGGGAGGATTCACCAGAGACAGAGTTGGGGGGCAGAACAGGTGGACTTGGTGAATGCGCTGCTGAGGGGAGCAGCGGGCGGGTCAGGAGAGGTCTGCCGCGCCATGCGGTCACCTCCGGGGCAGGCGGGGATCGAACTCATGCAGAAGTAGCTTTAGCTTCTTAGTGCTGTGCTTTAACCCGCAGGGAGGGCCCTATTTTTTAAAGGATGCTTTCTAAAGCACAGAAGTTTTAAAGTTCACAGAATCAATGAATTTCTTTTTTAATGGATTGCACTTATGTGTGTGTAGCTATTTTTCCCACTCTGACTCTCAGGTCTTGAAGATTTGCTCGTGATGTTAATGTGAATGAAATTTTTCTTAAGTTAATTTTAGGATTGTTCATTGATAGTAAATAGAAATGAAATTGATTTTTGTATATTGTGACCTACTAAGTTTCTTATTTCTTGAATTTGTTTTTGTGGATGCTTTGGGATTTTCAGCATACCATGATGAGGTCATGTGTGAATAAGAAATTTTACTTCTTCCTTTCTAATTGGTGTGACTTTAATTTATTTACCTTATTGTCACTGGATTGAATCTCCAGTACAGTGTTAATTAGAGTGGCAAAACTGGCATCTTTGTTTTATTCTTGATCTTAGGAGGGACGTATCAGTCTCTCACCACTAATTGTGATATTAGCTGTGGATTTTCCTAGATGCTCTTTGTAAATTCGCTTATTCCCAGTTCATTGAATTGTTATCATAAATCTATTTTGGACTTTATCACCTGCTTTATTTTGGTGGATCTGTTTCAATAACTGTGTGTATATCTTATATTCTAGTAATGTAATATGTTAAATTAGTTGAATTTGAGATTAAGTCACCCTTGCATTATTCCTTGGTAAATTCTACATGCTCATATCACAATGATACCTTTTATTTGATGGTAGGTTCAAGTTGCTAGTATCTTGTCATATATATGTATGAATGTGTGTGTATATACCCCCTTTGTAATAGTTGCGTCCGCAAGTGGACCTTCGGAGCTTCACTGTGGGGACCAGGGGCTCTGCTTACCTGTTAGGACAATTCTCTTCTCCCTCCCTTTCAACAGAGTGGCCACAAACCAGAAGGTACGAGAACAGGTGCGCCTGGAACTGAGCTTCCTGAACTCAGACCTGCAGATCCTCAAGGAAGAGCTGGAAGGCCTGAACATCTCGGTGGGAGTTTATCAGAGCACAGAGTAAGTGGGTGGCTCACAGGTGGGCCCACGGGTGGGCTGGACCCCAACTTGGGAAGCCGTGGGATGATTGGATCTGAGGTGCGAGCGTCAAAGGGATGAACCTGGAGTTTGTTGGGAAATGCCTGGGTCTTGGTACTGCAAGTGGGCACAGCTTTACAGGAGAGCCTGTGCCAGGGCCGGGGGAGGCACCTTTCACCCCTGCTGAGCCGAGGCTGTCCTCAAGCTGCTCCAGCACTCCTGGGCCTTGATTTGAGCGCGCGCCCGCCAGGTGGGGCCCAAGGTACCCTCCCTTTTCCCTCCTGATCACAGGACCACTCTGCTAATAGAATATTCAGATCTTCTACATCAGAGATAAAGGAACCCATGCCCGCTCCCCAGGGTGCGGGAAGTGTAGCCTGTGCAGTATTGGAGAAGCAGATGTTCTAGTTCAGAAGCATCCCTGAGGGAGTATCTGTGGCAGGCGCTAAGTTGAGATGTGGCCTTCAGGGAAGCTCAGGAGTCTCTCACTGCAGGGTGAGGCCACTTTGGGAGAAACCTGCCTGTAACAGGAAATAACTGGGAGCCAGAGGTGGGGGGAAGTGAGACTTTTTCAAAGGGCAGGTGAGTGGCAGGGAAACTCGATCAGAACATAGTTGCCTGGATTGACAAAAGAAAGGCATTTGGGGGCCTGAGTCACCTTTGGAATACGTCCCCGCCGTTGTCCCCAGGGTTTTCAGTGCCAGCGGGAACCTCCGCTCTCCCCTTGACGCCGTGCGCAGGCTCTGGCCGCGTGGGCTCCGGGGCTGTTTTGAACACGTGGTCAGAACACCCAGCGCCGGCTTCCCGTGTCCACTGTGACATTAATGGCAGTGTTTTGCCAAAGGGTCAAAGGTCCCCAAAGTAGTGAGGCAGGGCCGGCCTCGGGCGATGCTGGCAGGCTGCTGCGTCCTCCCGCGTGCTGCCCGAAGCCCGGACACTGGCAGGCCGTGGCTCTAAGTGCCCAGCTGTCCAGATTCGGGAGGACACTGGCGTGTCCCGCCCCGCCCCCATGCCCGGCTCGGAGCAGATTGTTCCTTCCCTAGCACCACTGCTCAGCCTGTAGCTGCGGTGAGGGAGGCAGGGAAGGGCAAGCTCACTGCGATGAGAGAGCACGAGGGGGCCAGAGGGCTGGAGAAAGCTGTCAGCTCCACACTGGACCACGGGACCAGCTCAACACTCAACACTGGTGCCTGGGGAGGGGCCTGGCCCTCACTGCTCTGGACAGTCGAGCAAGCAGACCTTGCCACGCCGTGTGGGAGAGGACAGGAGGGCCCGGGCCTGGGGAGACAAAGGGGCTAGCCCCATCTCCACCACCAGGTCCAGCCCTCTGTCTCCCCAGACCCCCTTTTAGCACAGCCACCACAAAGGCAGTTTCGGCTTACAGCTGCTTTGACCTCACCCGGCCCAGCATTCCTGACCTCCTCCCTGGGCTGGACTGGGCAGCCCAGGAGGTCTCCTGTTACAGGTCAGGGAGCTAAATCCTCGTTTGCAAAACATAGCCTGCAAAACATAGCCTGCGCCCCATTCACTTCCTGTTGGCCCTGTGTGGGAGCAATCCCAGGGTGGAGCACTCCCCTGGCGGCCTGAGGGGTAACAAAGTGGTCAGTGGGGCGAGAGGAGGTGGAGGGGACGCAGCTGGCCTGGGCCTGACCTGGGCCTGGAAGTCAGGTATCTTAGGTGTCAGATGCCCCCTTCCAGACCGTCCCCATACAGGTGATGGGACACCTCGCAGGGCGCGCCCCAAGGATGAGGCCCTGTGAGTCCAGGGTGGGTGCTGCAGGAGAGGGGAGAGGGGGGCGTCATGTAGGGGATCTGGGGGCCCAGCTACTGCAAGAAGGGCTTTGTTTCGGGGGATCAGCCAGGGGGATCTAGTGGGCTCTCGTGGGTTACGACACATGTGAAGTCCCAGGATCACTTTTAGAATAGAGACCTGGACATGGCCGCGTCATCTTTATATAAGGAAGTTGAATGAACTGGATTAGCGTGCGGAGAGGGCTGGGGGCCTGAGCCGGGCTGCTGGGGGAAGGCGTGGGGTGCAGAGTGGCCAGATCAGGGGTGCTCACCTACTTGCTCCGTTCTTGCAGGGAGGCCTTTACGATTCCCTTGATTCCACTTGGCCTGAAGGAGACCAAGGATGTCGACTTCTCGGTTGTTCTCAAGGTGAGTCTCACTGGACTCACTGTGGCGAAATGGAACCGAAATTGCACCTCCCCGGCCTGTGGCTTAGGCTCCGTGGCCAAGGCCGGTGGTTTCCGCAGGGTGACGCTGGCTGAGACCCTGCGGCCTCACAGTCTGGCTCTGAGGCTCCGCGGGTGCCCTGGAGGGTGAGTGTGGCCGTCCTGCCCAGGGCACTGGGCTGAAGGGGCCGGGCGTGTGCGCCTTGGGTTGAAGACTTGTAGCCCATTTTAGTGTCTTTTTCTTCAACTTTGTAACCAATTTAGATGACTTGGGACATTTCATTGTGAAAAGTTGCAGGCAGCAAGATTGAAAGCATTTTCTATCTCACTGCCCAGATTCTGCCACAGTCATGCTGCTGTTCTCGCTTCGTCACCTTTTTGTCTATGGATGCATCCCCAGTTTGGTGCACCAGCTGACCTTTTTTTCATGTTTTTCACCCCCTTTAATTTATGGGTACCTGCCCTTCTCTCTCGCTCTTCCTTCCCTGATAAGTGACAGCTTTACTGAGATATAATTTACATGCCATGAGATTCACCTCTTTATTTTTTCCTTTCTATTTGTTTATTTACTTATTTACTTATAAACATTGTTCACTTTCCTCCTCCCCCACTTCACCTGCCCGTCATCACCACAGCCCCTCATGCCCCCCTTCCCTCCCTCCTCCCAAACCCTCTCTGTCCCCCTCGCTGTAGGGTATCTCTGGCACCATTCACTTCTTTAAAGTGAACACTGTTGGAGCTCCTGTTCCCAGTGGTGTCTCTGGCGCCAGCAGGTACCTGGAGGCCCACACAGCCCTGTCACCAGGCCACCTGCGGGTGACGTCTCGGGCCTGCCTTCCTGACATGTGACTGGGAACTCGAGAGGCCTCCCGGGAATACCTTTTGCTGCCTCCTCAATCTGAGTTTTAATGAATCACCCCAAGCTTCCCTTGAGGAGGAGAAAGGGGAAACAAGGTGGGAAGTGGTCTGTGAGCTTCTCAGACACGCGTGCTGGAGAGGAGTAACCCCAGGGCTTCAGAGGTGCTTCTTTCATAAGTAACCCTAGCAGTTGGCTCATCTGGACTACTTTTGGTTTAGGAAAGAAAAAATTATAATGCATTTGGTTACATTACAAAATGTGTCTTTTTTAAAGCAACTGGCAGGGTCCTCTCTGGTGCAGTGGGTTGGGGTGCAGCACTATGAAGCTGGCCACAGCCGCTTCAGCGCGAGTTCGATCCCCGGCTCCGGAGGTGACCCTCATGGCACGGCAGACTTCTCCTGTCTCCCCGCTGCTCCCCTCAGCAGTGTACCTCATCAGTTGGCCTGTTCTGCTCCCCACTCTGTCTCTGGTGGAGCCTCTCACTGCCCCTGCACCTCTGGCTTGTACCCCAGTTCTGTATGCATAAATAAATAAATCTTTTTAAAAAAGAAGAAAAAAAAAAGGCAACTGGCTCATGCCCCAAGTGCTTCTACACTTGACCTCCGTCCTGGAGCAGAGGCCAGAGCTCCTTTGCCCTGGGGCTTTTCGGCTGCTGCCTTGTTTAAATCCAGGTCCTGGCCTCTGTCAGTTGGAGTTTATTTGGAATTGGAGAAGGGGTGTTGGTAGCCTTCAAGGCCCTTGGATCAGTAGAGATTTGATTTTCTGGGTAGAAAACAACTGAAGATACAGCTTTGTGCCCAGTTTGCAATGACTTTCTGAGCTTTTGGATTTGACGCTGCCTGTGAGACTTGAGAACCCTTGTGTGTGCAGAAATGTCGTCAGCTGCTTTTGTAGAGTAGTTTCCTAGTAGTTTGTTCTGAGCCAGAGCCGCCAGAATGGAGGCATTGGAAGGGACTGCCTTGCAGAAACTTCACGAGCATCTGTAAGGACCCAAACATGTCACATGAGTTCCACATTAAAGTGAGTGTATAAAAATGTCACATGTTGTGGGCAGGGAGGGCCAACTGCCATTCAGCTGAGGCTTCTAACCATGTTATTTCAGCCTAAAAGCAGCGCCACAATGTTTGCGGACATTCTGTTTTCTCCTTCCACATGTGTTCTCTAGAGTAACCCGGGCACCAGGGATGTAGCCTGGCCAGCTTAGTCAGGCCTCAGGTATGGTCTGTGTGAGGGTCAGTAAGCTTCACATGGGACTGACTTCCTTCTCTTTTATTTTATTTTATTTTTAATATTTATTATTTTTGTGTAGAAGAACCAAGGTGCAGGCCAAAGGTGTGGGGGGTGAGAGGACTCACCAGAGGCAGAGTAGGGAGCAGATTGAAGTACTGAGGGGAGCAGCGGGGAGACAGGAGAGAGTGTTGCGCCATGTGGGTCACCTCCCTGGCCGGGGATCGAACTGGTACTGCAGCAGTGATAGCACTGAGACTTAACCCCCAGGCCAGCGGGAAGGGCCCAAGGGGTTATATAATTCAGCCCTGTGTTAGAGAACACTGGGCATGTGAAAACGTGGGACCCTTGCCAAACCAAAGAAAGCAAAGCAAAGTTGTACATTGCGAGTGTCCAGTGCCATTCTCACAAGGCGAGGGTGCGTGCTTGTGCTGGCACACACGCACGGGACACACAAATAGCAGGAGGGTCTCTGGCAGGGATACAGGGTCTCTCTGGAGAAGGCGTGTGTACAGGACTGGACGCTACACCTTGCATCCCAAGGCCAGCCAGCCAGGATGCTGCGCCAGAACCGGCCTGCGCGCCTGCTTCGCCTTATCTCACATGTTTTCTTCTGACATGATGTGATTTGCATAGTGGACTGTCTGTGCGCGCGTCTGTGCCCCTGAGAGAATATGAGCTCCCCAGGGCAACGGTCCTCGTCCGCTCACTGATGCAGCTCAGGCCTGGGGACAGCTCCTGGCACGCAGAGGCGCCCGTGACTGATGATCTCAGCGCTTGCCACCGCTGGGCCTCTGACCAGTTGGGGTCTCCCCACAGAGCTCCACTTACAGAGTGCTGTGCTGTCTCACCAGGGACCCCGCGAGCACCCTGAGTGGCCTTCACCACACACCACTTTCCTTCGCCACGTTTGAAAGCCTAGAACTGAGGGCATTTTAAAGAGTGAAGGACTGAGCCCTTAAGTGTCCGAATTGTGTGACAAAGGCAATTTTCAAGTGAAATCTTTTCCTTTTTACTGTATCAACAAAAGCAAAACGTAAGCAACATGGAAAAGCCCATCATTCAGAAAATCCTGGCCATGCACAAGTCTTTCTTCTTCTTTTTTTTTTAAAAAAGATTTTTTACTTATGCATAAAGAAATGGGCTACAGAGACAGAGTGGGGAGCAGAACAGGTAGATTAACTGAACTCCACTGTGGAGGGACACAGCGGGGAGACAGGAGAGGTGCACTGTGCCCTATGAGTCACCTCTGGAGCTGGGGATCGAACTGGAGCTGAAGTGGCTGCGGCCAGCTTGCAGTTCACCAGGTCAACAGGTTACTTAACATGTCTTTTAAACGAGCAGCATCAGGCCCTCCCTGGGGGCGCAGCGGGTTAAAGCACAGCACTAAGACGCTAGAGCCACTTCGGCATGAGTTCGATCCCCGCCTGCCCCGGAGGTGACCACATGGTGTGGCAGACCTCTCCTGACCCGCCCGCTGCTCCCCTCAGCAGTGTACCTCATAGACCTGCCTGTTCTGCTCCCCGCTCTGTCTCTGGTGAAGCCTCTCGCCGCCCCTGCGCCTCTAGCCTGTACCCCAGTTCTGTATGCATACATAAGTCTTTAAAAAAAAAGAGCAGCAGCATGTTACCGTCCAGTGTGTGTGGTTTTGTGTCTTAGTGCATCTCATCTCCCCTTTCTCACAGGACTTTCTCCAGGACCATTACGGTGAGGATGGCTACTTGTATGAAGATGAAATAGCAGATCTGATGGACCTGAGACAGGTGCGTTTGTGTGTGGCGGAGGGGAGGAGAGCTCCCAAGCTTGTCGGGGCTTCGGAAAACCCCACTATGGCACACTTGGGGTCTACGCTTACAGGGGCTGTGGGAACCCTCCCTCCACGGCCCTGGAAAACCAGACCTCGCCCATGGCACGCCAGGGCTGGATGCCGATCGCTGAGTTCATCTCAGCCCTTTCCATTCCCCCAGAGCTGATGATGCCACAGTGGGGCCCAAGCTGCACAGAAATTGATGAGGAGCATTTGGGGGGTGTCCTCCCTGCTCACCCCCTCTGCCCCTTTCCTGTCAGGCTTGTCGGACGCCCAGCCGTGACGATGCCGGCGTGGAGCTGCTGATGACTTACTTCGCCCAGCTGGGCTTTGTGGAGAGCCGCTTCTTCCCCCCTACCCGGCAGATGGGGATCCTGTTTACCTGGTGGGTCTGGGTCTGCACCCCAACACCTTTCCCTACAGCCACCACTTCGGGCCTCGCACAGAGGCGCCTCTGTAATGGGGTGGGCTGGGGAGGGGCATCGACAAAATGGGGTTTGTTTATGAAGGGACCTCAGGACCAGAAGCTCCAGCAGACCGTGGTGTCCCGCTTCTCGGAACTCGTGAGCCCAGGAAAAGAGGCGTTTTTTGTTTTTTTTTTTCATGCTCATTTTACCATTGGGGAGACGTGGGGTCTCTGAGGTGGAACTAACTAGAAGCCAGACACTGGGTGTGGGGCATGGGGGGGGCAGTAAAGGGAGCACAGAAGTAGCCATCAGGTTTTGTCAGGTGTCAAGGACAACAAAGAGAAACACCTGCTTTGCTCCCCACTCTGTCTCAACCCCCGCCTCCGGCCTGCACCCCAGTTTTCATATGCATAAATAAATACATCTTTAATAATAAAAGGTGCTTGTTTAAAGCTGAGGCTGCACACTGGATTCTTCTCCAGGTGGCCTGGGCAGGGGTTCTCACAGGTACATCCCCCCGGAGTTGTTCTTCTCTGAGTGTGGGTGAAAGGAGAGGAAATGCCGCTGCGTAATCAGAGTTAAATTCTACCAGAGTCAATTTCCTTTGGAAAGGAAAGGCAGGTGAATTTTCCTGGAGACACATTCATGGCTGACAGGCAGGTGCCGATTAGGAAAATCTCCCCCGTCCACCTCCTGGCTGACACGCGAACTTTAAAATGAACCCCGGATCTTGGACACCTCAGGAAGAATCAGGAGGGATGAGTAACTGCTCTGTTGCATTTGAGAGAACGCATTCTTCCTTGGGTTGTTTTTGAAATAATTCATAGTGAATTAACGCCATAACAGATTTGTGGTGTGCACAGAGTAACCCCCGAAAGTCAGTTCTGTCTTTTGCCATACAAGTGACCCCTTCATTGGGCTCACGTCCTCCCCCCTCCTTTTTCTGGTAGCCTCTGGTTTAGTCTTACAGGCTAGTGGTGTTTTGGTTTGTTTATTTAGTCTGTTCTTATACCATCATAACACCTTTTCTTTTTAAGAGCAGTTTCAGATTCACAGCAAGATTGGGGGGAAGGTAAAAGTTTCTCACATTCCCCCTCCCCCACATACAACCTCCCCTGCCCCCACAGATCAACACGCCCTCTAGAACCTTCAGTGACACACTGTTACCGTAGTATACATTGCAGCTCACCCCGGTGGTTCACATTCTGCAGGTTTGGACAAACGTGTCATGAAGCGTCTCCAGCACTGCAGTACCGTGCAGGGCAGCGCACCCACCCCCGAAAGTCCCTGCTCCCCCTCATTCCTGCTCCACCTCCCTCACCCCCCCAAATAAATAGCCACCCGGCGATCTCTGATTCTTTTTCTGTCTCCGTTGTTTTGCCTTTTCCAGAGTGTCATGTAGTTGGAATCACACAGTACGTAGCCCTTCCCGCCTGGCTCGTCACGCAGGGATGCGCATTCAGAGTCCCTGCATGTCTCTCCACGGCCACTGGCTCATCATGTAGTTAGTGCTGAGCGATGCCCACAGTTACCCGCTCACCCGCTGGTGGACGTCTTGCTCGAGAAGCCTGAGTTCTGTGTGTCGTGTGGGTGTCCTGACTCAGTACGACGGGGCTCACTGTCCTGCTTAGAAATGAGGGCTTCAGTGCATGCGCATCTTTGAATTTTATTCAAGCAATACATTTTGTCCCATTCCACCACCCCCCACCCCCCAAACTGGTCTGGTTTACACGTATTCTGACAGCACATTTACTCTAAACAGGTACGACTCCCTCACGGGGGTTCCCGTCAGCCAGCAGAACCTGCTGCTGGAGAAGGCCAGTGTCCTGTTCAACATCGGCGCCCTCTACACACAGATTGGAACCCGGTGCAATCGGCAGACACAGGCTGGCCTTGAGAGCGCGGTGGACGCCTTCCAGAGGGCCGCAGGTGTGTGTCGTGAGCACGGGGGGAGAGACACCCAGCTCTGGGGAAGGGTCTGTGGGCTCTCCGCGCCACCCTGGGCCTCATGGGCCTGAAAGGGCCCTGCCAGTTTGCAGTGCGGGTGTGAGTCCTGGCGCTGCTGATTGGCCCAGGCCATCATCTAAGTCAGAGTAGGCCTGTGTGCTCAGGGAGCCAGTGGTTAACCTTTGATCCCTTCCCAGTGAGTGGCCCCAAGGATGCAGGTGAATGAACTGTTTCTGGGAACACTATATTGAAGTCCAAAAGGCTTTTGAAAACAGTCAAAATGTGGCTCTTCTTTCTTTTTTAGAGGTGCATATTACTGTCCATACCTTTATACTTTGTTTGGTCACTTTAATAAAAAAGATTTTATTTGTGCATACAAGAACTGGGGTACAGGCCGAAGGTGGGGGGTAGGAGAGAATTCACCAGAGACACAGTCGGGAATAGAATAGGCAGACTGACTGAAATCCACTGCCGAGGGGAGCAGGGGAGACAGGAGAGGTCTGCTGCGCCCTGTGGGTCCCTCCCTGGCCGGGGACTGAACTCGTGCTGCAGTGGCTGCGATAGCTTCACAGTGCTGAGACTTAACTGGCTGGGTCACCAGGGGAGCCCTGTATTTTGTTGGGTCGCTTCTTCACCCACCTTGTTTCTAGCTTAACCAGGTCAGTTCTCTTGTGTTGAGAAAGTCAGACTCTGAGGCACGAGGTGGTTTCCACAAATGAAGTGAGTGGTGGCATGTTGGGGATGGCAGAGCAGGTCCCCTAAAGTGGCAGAGGAGGGAAGATCATGGAGGAGAGAAGGAAAGTGAGGGGACTCTCTTTATTCAGGTCCCAGCACTTGCAAGCAGTCGAGGGTGTTTGATCACATTTGATGGTGCATTTCTGGAATAACTGCCCTGGTCTCTGTTACCAATTAAATCCACCTGCGGGTGTTTGTCGACCGGGCACTCACATCAGCATCCTGGGAAAGAACAGTTAAGCATCAGGCCACCTGCCCGCAAGGCCTGAGGAATGCAGTCTGGTGACTTCTGGGACAGAGGTCACGTCGTTATTCTTGGCTTAGACACAGCCACAAACCAAGGTTACTCCTCTCCACTCTCTGCCAAGTGCCGCTTAGGGCCAACCTCTGGGGGCCGAGGTCATTGGCCCTGGTGCCCTGGGCAGGCCCTGTGCCTTTCAGGCGCATCTGAGGGTCCTGAGAGCTTCTCCCCAGTCTAACCCTGGAGCAGCACCTATATCCAGCACCTCCAGGAATGGGGAGCAAAAACAGTGGCAGTAAGGCCCCAGTGTGACCCCCCCAAGCTGACCAGAGTGTCCCCTTCTGGGCTAGTCCTGGTCACTCTACTTCCAGCGTTGACCTGGGAGAAAACCTTTTTGGGTGTCTCACTTTGCGCTTCGGCGTGGAACAGCAGCTGGCTGTTGCGGGGCGTCACGGGAGTCCTGTGGAGACCCACGGGATGAAACGATAAGCTTAAGATTCCATGCGGGAGTCTCTTTCACCCTGAGCCTCCTCTGGGCTTATCTTTCTGAGGAATCTCGGGCAGGTATGTTCTGTGACCCTCCTGAGATTACAGGGATCCTCGCACTGTGGAGCTTGAGGACAGAGAGCAGGAGTCCCAGAGGGGAGCAAACATCCTTCTGCGGGGCCATCTTTGCAGCCAAACCAGAGGAACCAGTCTGATGGGGTTCGGTTCAGAGGTTTCATTTCAGCCCAGGTTGCTCATTAATGCTGTGACAGTTCATTTTCTAACATATAAAAGTCGGCCAAGTCTTACAGTGTGAAAATTTTCACTGGCGTGGGCTGAATCCATCTTTCCTGAGGTCCTGGGGGGATGGCCCCCCATTTCCAGGTGCCCCAGGTTAGGTGGGAGCCTCTCCCCCTGTCTACCCCTATGGTCAGCCCATCTGCTTCTTGCTTTTTGCCCCATCAAAAAAATCTCAGGTTAGCCGGGAGTGGCTGGGGAGCGGGCTGCTTTCCTGCTTGGTATAGATGGAGATGTTTTGTTTTTGTGCGTGTGTAGAAGAACCGGGGTACAGGCCAGAGGTGCGGGGTGGGGGTTGGAGGGTAAGAGGGTTCACCAGAGACAGAGTAGGGAGCAGAACAGGTGGGTCCACTTAAACACACTGCTGAGGGGAGCAGCGGGGAGACAGGAGAGGTCTGCGGCGCCCTGTGGTCCGCTCCCTGGCCGGGGCTCGAACGCAGGCCTGCTTAGTGAAGCCATTAGCCAGGGAGGAGCCCTAGTCTGAGATGTTTGAGAGGAGAGTCCAACTTTTTAAAATCATGCTAAAATATCACTGGTAGAATTGCTGTTTTAACCATTTTTAAGTACACTGACCTTAAGGTCGCGCACACGGCTGAGATGCTGCTTTCATCATCCTGAACTCGAGTCCTCATTTCACAACCCTCCACTCCTGCCCCTGGGCCGCTGGCAGCCACTTTCCTATTTTTGTCTCCATGAATTTCACGCTCGGGATGCAGCATCCTTGTGACTGGCCTGTCTCACTTTGCACATGTCTCCATCCAGATTGTAGCATATGCCAAAATTTCCTTCCTATGTGAGGCTTAAAAATATCCCATGGTGGGCCCTCCCTGGTGGCGCAGCGGGTCAGGACGCAGCACTGCAGGCCAGCTGCGGCCACTCCAGTGCACGTTCGATCCCCGCCCTGGAGCTGACCCACGGGGTGCAGCGGGCCTCTCCTGTCTCCCTGCAGCTCCCCTCAGCAGTGTGCTTCTTCCATCTGCCTGTTCTGGTCCCCGCTCTGTCTCTGGTGAAGCCTCTCACCGCCCCTGCACCTCTGGCCTGTACCCCAGTTCTGCATGCATAAATAAATAAATCTTAAACAGAAAATTCCATGGTATGGATTTACCACATTTTATTTGTCTGTCAACAGACAGTTCAGCTGTTTTTGCCTTTTGGTTATTTTGAGTGATGGTACTCTGAACACTGGGGTGCAAAGGTCTGTTTGAATCCCCACTTTCTGTTGTGTGGGGTGCATACCTAAGGCTGGAGTTGCTCCTCATACAATGATAATCATGAGTCAGGAACTTCAGGTGTTCCTGACACCTTTTGTATTTCTGCTTCTGGCGTCCTTTGTACTTCTCAGCAGCCTGGTGCAATAAATATGATCCCCAAGTAATGCGTAAAAAACTTCCAACCCTAGGGGTTTTAAACCACCTGAAGGAGACGTTCACTCACACGCCGAGTTACGACATGAGCCCCGCCATGCTGGGCGTGCTGGTCAAAATGATGCTCGCGCAGGCCCAGGAAAGCGTCTTTGAGAAAGTCTGCCTTCCCGGCATCCGGAACGAGTTCTTCACGCTGGTGAAGGTGGCTCAGGAGGCGGCCAAGGTGAGACCCCGTTGGGCGGACGTGTGTCTGCCGGCCCACAGGGGCAGCGGGGCGCCCCACGGCAGCCCCCCATGCCTGGGCTGCGAGCCTGCCCCAGCCCGCACCGGCATTTTCCGGTCAGGTGCGGGATTCAGACACAGTCCATGGACTCCACCTGCAGCTTGAAAGGCAGCCCCGTGGCAGTGGCCCAGTCTCTGTGGCCTCAGACGCTGGCACACAGGCTCCCGGGGGCAGAGCTTCCTGGCAGAAAGGGCTCGTCTTGCCGCAGCCCAGGCTCACGGCCCTCTCGCCGCACCCCTCCTCTGTTCCAGGTGGGCGAGGTCTACCAGCAGCTGCACGCGGCCATGAGCCAGGCCCCAGTGAAGGAGAACGTGCCCTACTCGTGGGCCCGGCTGGCCTGCGTGAAGGCCCACCACTACAGCGCCCTGGCGCACTACTTCTCGGCCACGCTGCTCATCGACCACCAGCGTAAGGCTCGGGCTCGGCTTTGGTCAGCGCCGCGGCCCTGTGGCGGCTCACGGGGAGCGGGCGTGGAACGCACAGGCAGGGTGGGGTTGGGGTGCTGGATGCACACGGTGGGGAGGAGGAGGGACAGGGGTCACGTGGATTCAGCCTGGGGTGGGGCCGGCACTTCATGGAACCCATGGGGTGGCTAGAATGCTAACACTGCGGGCTGCCTCCTAGCACGGTGAGCAGAACACTACTCTAAGGTCATGTAAATGAGTCAAAGTTAATGCAAAAAAATGCACAGTGATGGAGACTTTACATAGAGGTGTGGCTTGGTGGTGCATGGCAATGCTGAGCGCGCAGGAGCCTGGGCAGAAGCAAACTGATGTTCTGTTCACTGCGGGGCTTTTTGCACTGGCTCCATATTGAGAAAATGGTGCTAAGATGATTTTTCTTCATTGCTGGGTATTTGGCAACCTGTGTTCTCAGCCCTGGAGGGGGTGGGTGTCTCACGCTCCCCTCCCTGGTCCTGCCTCTGGCCGGAGGTTAGGTGGGTGGAAGCTTTGCTGTAACCAGCACTCATCCGGGCAGCCCAAGTGACGCAGGCCAGCCAGCGCTGCCGGGTTTACTTCTTAGCTCCGCCTTTACTAGCTGGCTCCTCGCGGGCAAGTTACTTTGCTGCTTCGTGCCTCAGTTCTCTCACCTGTAAAATGGACATATGGAGAGTCTCTTTCACGGCGGCTGTGAGAACTAAGTGCTTCTGTGCAAAGCTTACTGGTGCCCGTAGAGCGTGGACTTCCTGAAGGTGTTTGCTGCAGCTGTTAGGCAGGATGAGATACGTGAGCTCATAGGTCATAAAGAAATAAAGTGCTTCAGTCACCACAGCAGAGACATAGAGGAGGCGGGGCTGGACTGTGTGGGATGGTGGTTTCTGAGAGGCTGTTGACCTTGACTCTGAACTCTGGAGGTCTCTCCGGGTGAACGGGGAGGGAAGTCTGAGCTCAGGGATGAAGTGGGAGAGTTGAGGTCGTGGTGCGGTCAGAGAGAGGACATGTGCCAGCGTGGGTGATGTCGAAGCTGGGGCGGGCCCTCACTGCAGGATTGGGGGGCCACCAGGGCTCTGAGGCTGGGCTTTCCTCGGAGGTTCTGTGACGCGTGTCACTTGCAGGAGCTGGACCGAGACGGCTCAGAGCCACGGCATGAGCCCATTGGAGTGGCTGGCCTGAGGGTGCCCAGGCTTGTGGGCTGGAGGGTCTGAGGTGTGGCCAAGGGCAGGGAGTCATCACCCCACGTCTTGTGAAGTCGAGGGAGACAGGAGCCAGGAGCTGGGCTTTTAGCGACACCCCAAGTGCCCACACTCCAGCCCCAGCCCACAGCCACACCCAGCAGGGCGCTGTCCGTGGTTCTCTTGCAGTGAAGCCCGGCGCCGACGAGGACCACCAGGAGAAGTGCCTCTCCCAGCTGCACGACCACTTGCCGGAGGGGCTGACGCCCTTGGCCACGCTGAAAAACAGTCACCAGCGCCAGCAGCTGGGTGCGTGTCTGCTCTCCTGCGTCTGCCCTCCCCGCGCCCCACTGGTTCCCAGCTGGTCCTGCTCAGGAACAACCCAGACGGGCCCAGGGCAGGGCTCGGAAGCACTGGGCGCTCTGAGTCACCGCAGCCATTCCAGATTCGGAAGCCCCGAGGCGTAGTCCTGGAGCCCCAGTGGGTGTCCAGAGCTGGCAGGGCAGTTGTGTGAGGGCCCAGCCTCCCACAGTGGAGGCTTTGGATCTTCCGGCACCCAGCGGTCCCGGGATCGCCTTCGGCCCCCTAACGTGGAAAGACACGTCGTTCATTTTCTCAGGGCGCAAGAACGACTGGCCATGCATTGCCCTGCGTTGGTCTCTTGCCAAGTCTCAGGGTGAATCTCTCCATCTACAAAGCCGAATTCCTCCACTGCACTCCCAGCCCCGCCCCTCCCCCCGTGATCCCATTCCCCACTCCACCCCCATAAAATGTCTCTGGTAAATAGTTGTTTTTTTTTTTTTTAGCCCTTTCTTTTTTAATAATAGTTTATTTTTACATCATTTTGTGCCTTTTTCCATCTCAGTTGTAATCCCTGTGGTCTTCCTGTCAAAATCACCCGTGTGCCATCACCATAGTCCAGTGCACTCCCAGCCCCGCCCCTTCATTTGTGATCCCATTCCCCACTCCACCCCCATAAAATGTCTCTGGTAAATAGTTGTTCTTACTATTATTACCATTTTCTCCCTGGTTCTTCATACCCCTTCTATGAATTAAACCATCCAGTATTTTTCCCTTTTTTTCT